TTATTTATGCATTTAAAGTTATTAAGCTGCACAGAACATGAAAACTTCTCATTGATTATGTTAGTTACGCTCATTAAATTTCAAAGTATCATATAATTGGCTTGGCGATTATTTTTTTAATAATTGTTATCTTAAAATAAGCATATGCTATCCATTAATAAAATATATATTTTCCAGGTTTTCAAAAAGATGTCTAACAAAAATGTTTTTTTTTAATCTTAGAATATTGCTTAACACATTTGAAAAGCAAATATTATCCTTGTTTAGGTTAATTGGAGAAGTTGATTAACTATCAATTGTCTTATTATATAGTTATGTAAAATACTTAAGAAAATATATTAAATAAAATAGCCTTTTATCAATTCACAAAATATATTTTTATCTGCTTGCTCCTAAAAATAAAACAAGAAAGTTTTTAAAATCTGAGCATACACTTCATTGTATCATCCCAACAAGGAAAAAACTTAATAATGTTAAGAGGCAAGATTTTAAATAAGTATGAAGAGAGGGGATTTCAGAATTTTTAAAGCAGCAAAAAAATCCAATGTTTTTCAGATTTGTCATTTAAAAATACTATAATTCAACTCTTAATGATTTGATTTAAAACTATTGATATAAAAAATTTTAATTATCACAGATTTGTAGGGATAATATAATAATTTACTTCTGATAAAAATTTTTTAGCTTCAATATACTCATTGTATTTGCATTTAAAAAGTATTTAATTTTTTTAATTATTTCATGAATGACATACTGTACTTAGGTAATCAATTTTAATTAAAAAAATTTATGGGCCGTTCACTAATTAACATTTGTAATATAAATGTATTAAAGTTTGCTTAATTCTTTACATATTTTTATAAATTCGGTATGATCAATATTAATCTTGTTAATGTTTTGTTGAATATACTACTATAAATAACATTTATTTAAATTTTAGGAAAAATATACTCAATAACCTTTTAATAGTTAAATTAATTAGAGTTTTAAATTATCTTTTACAGAATTAAATAAAGTAATTATTGATTTAAAAAATAGTATGAGCCACTCAATATTGAATTTATTTAAATTGCTTTTGCCAAAAGCTCATTTTTAAGAAATATTTCAGCTATATTAGATAAATTTTTAGGTCTTTTCCAAACTGAGACACCATTGATTCACTTGTTGTATGATGAAATGGTGTCTCTAGTTTAAACATTGTTAGGGCGTTTTTTAAAGAGTTCTGCTTTTCTTAGTTTGACAGGAAAGCACTTAAAATCTTTGTATGTTGAAAATGCAGAAATTTGGCAAAATTCAAATTTAATAGATGTTGCACTAGATACCACAAATGCGATGACATCCTTATCTTCTTCTTCTTCAAAAAGAAAAAAAAAATTCTATGTCCTAATAATTCTATTCCTCTTATCTGAGGCTAAGTCGAGGATAGCAGAATATTTAACAGTATTGGAAGATACCAAAAAGAAACTTAATTTGTTTATGCAAGGACCTTCAAAAAAGTGTAAAAAATAAGATATGTTATTAATGAACAAAAAACTCTTGTTATTAAATTCTTGTTTTAATTTTTTTTTTTAAATATGCTTCAAATTTTGTTTTGCTGCTCCAAATTTTTTTTTTTTTTTTTTTTTTTTTTTTGCTCCAATTAATCTAATTTCATCCTGTTCCAAATATCTGAATTCCTAACAAAATCACCACTCAGGCATATTTTATTAGAATATAAAGTTATTTTATCATGTTCTTTAAAAATTATGGTGTTCTTTCAAAAAATGAGAGAAAAAAACATCATTTCTAGAGGGAATTATCTTTTAAACTCTTCTGTGATTTAAGAATTTTTATTATTTATTTTTTTAAAAACTTTATTAATTTAAAATTCTAGTTGAAGCAAACCAGTCATTGGCGAATTTTTTTTATTCCGAAATGAGAACAGAAAAATCAGGAGTATTTCTTTCCTTTCAGATGAGCAAGAAAAGTTTCTTTAGAATATAATTCTACAGAAAAAAAATTATTTGCTTTTGTATTTTTTCAGCTATTTTATTGTTTCAACTCTTTCTTTACTCTGTTTGTTAAATTTAAAATCTATAAATATAAAGATGCAGAGTATAGCAGTTTTGGTTATACCTATAATTTTAATTAATGTTATTATAATGCTTTAATATATATATTAATATATATAATGTTATTATAATGCTTTAATATGTTATTATAATTTATTTAATTTATTGTTCTGTTTTTGTCAGTGAAAATAGTAACTTTGTTAATTCATGAAAAACTCTTGGAATTAGTCATAGAAAATCGTGAAAAGTCATGAATTTTAAAATCCAAAATGTAGCAGATACCCTACGTATAGCATTTTATTTATCAATTTATTTTAGTTAGCTGTTTTGCACAATAAAAAAACTTTTTCTTGGAATTCATTTTCTTTTGTCATAAAGAATCGGTCAAGGCTAATATTTTGAAAGTTTTCGTTTTTAAAAAAGTATTGTTATAGAAAGATTATAATTTTCTAATTTAGAATATTTTAAAGAAAAATGATTATTTGAAAATCTATAATAACTGATGTTGCTTATTTTTCTTTCCAATTTTCATGTTCTATATATGCTGCGTAAAATTAGAGTTTATTTGTAATTAAAATACTATTCAACAAACTGCTTGTATAGTAATTTCTATTTTTTTGAAATTAATATAAGTAATGACATTATTATTTGTTATAAAATTATGAAATAGATATCCTGGAAAACTATACTCTATTTTTAGTAGTCCATTTTAAATATATAAATATGTTATGATTTTTCTGTAATTCATACTTCTGTTTATAGGGTGGTCTTGTATTTGCGTGCGGTACTAGGGATACATTTAACTAATATGTTTTTCTTAAATTTATAAATTTACATTGTAGAATCGCTGTGTTTTCTGTCAGAGTGTTACGGGATGAACGGATACGCGTAATTTCGAAACAAAGAACAGATTATGCTGAAGAAGAGGAAGGTAATTTAAGTACACTTGTAAATATTTCTTCTCTTGTTCTATAAATTCTGAATTTTGTAATTTTCACCTTATTCACTAGTTTTTTCTTTGATTGATATATTTTTCATTTCTTAGCTTGCAATTTAAACAAATATTTAAAAAAAATTACAAATTTAATATGATTGGTATTTGCATTACAGTATTACTGTTCTATCAGATTTAAAATTACTATTAAGTTATAAGTCATGGTTTAATAAACAGGTAAGTTAACTAATTTGTTATGATTTTTATATCAGTAAATTGTCAATTAGATGTATCTTTCTATCTCTTAGTTTTAAAGTTGATAATTAACTAATTTATTACAATTACCATATCAGTAAATTCATTATGAGCTGAGTCTTTGTCAGTCACCTTTTAAAAACAAGTAAACTCACCAGTTTATTATCATTTTTACACCAAGAATCACTAGGGAAATTTCCAAAATGTCAATGTACACAAATTTTAGAGGAAAAGTTTGTATGGGTAACTTTTTATTTTGCAACTGGTAAAATTTCTAGCACATTGTTATTTTGTTTTCCCCTTATTGTCAAGTTTTCAATTTTTGAATTTCCTTCCAATCCAAACCAGTCATCAAAAGTGAGAAAAAATTTTCATCAAAGTATACCTTTTTTTAAATTTCTGGTATGCTTTTAAGTTTGCTGATTATACAAATCTAAGTTGCAGGATCAAACTTAAAAATAGTTTACCCAAATGGCATACGCCAAGTACAATTATAACAATTTAAGGAAAATACAGAGAAAAAAAATTATTTTCAAATTCTTTTTAGTCTTTTCAGGTCTTTTCAGGCTTTCTACAGATCTAAACTTAAAAATTAGTTTTTCAAATATGGTAAACATATTGTCTCATTAAAATAGAACAAAACTTAACTATAGTATTTTTTGCTAATTATGAATCTTGAATCAGAATTCATGAATACTTTCATAGTAAATTTAGTATGGATGTTTTTAAGTTGTAATATATGACTATGAAAACCACAAGTGCCATAACTTTATGGAGATGTCATCCTAACATATGCACAGCACCAGCAAAATTAGAAGTTAAAGACGGCCCATTTGAAAATTATTTAGTTTCTTTAAACTAAATAATTATCAGATAGGCCGTATTATCATATTTAGTGCTGTGGGTAAAGAATGGGTTTTCAAAATATTACTATTATTATAAATATTACATTAATGAACGTGACTTGTTTCTCCTAATTTCAAATTGAAATGATTATGAATTTCCAGCTTCTCATTTATTCTTTATTAATCAGAAAAGAAATAAATGAAAGGAAAGGAAATTCCAATTATTAATGAAAAAAAATTACTCAACTAATCTCCTTGAAAGCCCTGAATCTTGGAAACAAGGTTTTATCTCCCCTGTATCTTTAATTTTCATTGGTTGTTGAGGAAACCATCGATTTTTGGTGATTAGGAGTCTCCTCTTCTCTTTAATTTTACCAAAGTATATAAAAATTGCTTGAAAACTGAGACCGAGAAGCCTAATGATCATTGATATGCTGTGTCTCAAAATACTGCTTAATATACTGTATTTTAAGAAAAATGTTCATAAATGTAACGCTTAAAATCTTATAAACCACAAGTAATCCTCTCAAAACTATGGCAGTTCTAAAATAATTTTTTTTTTTTTAATATTTTGGCGAAACTGCTGCATGGTGTTCACTATATTGTATTCTATTTCAATTTTGACAATTTGAATTCATAAAACAATTTGATCTTAAAAATATTTAATCTTAGATATTTATTTTTTAAATTATACTTTTATGTTTGTTTCCAGTACCAATTAAAAGTGTTGAATTCTGCCGTGCTTTCTTACAAAATATTTCATGTCATTTGTTCTGTTTATAGTTAAGATAAAAGCAAATGTAACAGTATTGTTAATGTTTTTTCACTCAATTTTTTTGTTAAAAAAATATAATTGTGTAATTTGCTTTGTGATGATAATTCTAATGAGCTATTTCTATTATACTTTTTAGAGTTTTCAATGGATGAGTAGAGTGCTGTTGATAGTATTCATCAAGTTGGAATTTGCTGTCTTGCTCTAGTTTTGCCCAATTGTTGCCAAAAGTAAGTAAAATTATCCTAGAAATATCAATAGAAAAATAGATTTTGCAACCCGTTTACTCTTGAAGGTTTGCTTCTTGCAATTAGGATTATTTTGTCATATTTATCAAAATATCATTTTTGTTCACTAGTCAAATAAAAACTGGATGGTCTTACTTTAAAACTGTAGCATCTGAAGATCTTTATATGTATAGAGATTAAGTTCTGTAATTTCTATACAGTTCTGACTAAGAAAATGCAAAAACCTTAAGATTAAGGAAAGTGATATTTTCTAATGGCCTTGTATTTTTTTGGTACATTTTTTTTCCTTCAATTTTTAACTAACTTTTTACTTCTGATTTGCAACATTATTATGGGACTTGTCCATAATAATGTTGCATTTTCAATTTTATGTATTTCCTCAATTTTTGTAACCAAGAAATGATATTTCATCAATTCTATTATGTAATTGAGATTTGTTTTCTTCTCTATTCACAGGTTTGGAAATCCAAATCTTTGATATTGAACGAGGCATTGGCAAATATTCAATTTTTGATTAAAAGATTGGTTAATAGTTAACTTTGTTACATCACAAAATGAAAAAAAATCTTGCACTGTCTATCATAGTGCATTATATGTGTATTATTATTACGTTTATGGCAAGTTTAATAGCATTTTTCCTTCTTAATTTTTTTTTAAATTCTATTATCCTGCATACTTTGTATTTTAACCTGCATGACAACTATGTACAACCTTAATGACATTAGGAACAATTGAAATACCTATTTCATTAGAATTATTTGTATCTTTAAGAGAAATGAAATAATCCCTAGAAAATTAAGTGAAAATAATTTAAAATAATAGCTTTATTCACTACATAATTTTTTTCTTCATTTTTATGAACTGAATAAAGTTATTATTTTTTATTTATCTTTATAGTTTCCTATTATATTGTCTTTCAAGCCTTAGTCAAACTGTAAGAATAATATTTTATTTGTGCTTGTCATTTTTTGTTTATCATATTTTTTTTATCAATTTAAAACGTAACTTAAGACGTAACAAAACCTTTTACTTTACAACAGACGTATAACAAATCTAAAAATATGACGTTTCTAATTTAAAATCGTTTTTACTCCTTTAGGTGGTATTCATTTATCTGAATCAAAAAGACGATTTTAAGAGGGAAGTTTACACCCAGCCAATGTATTGATGTGCCCTCACACCTTTGTTACCAATCTTCCTAAACCTAGAGAAGCTTATTCTGGTAGGAAAATTTTCAAAATTAGAATTTTAAAGTTTTTATATCAATTACTTCTTTCTCAGACTACAAATAAATAATAAAAAAAATGTGTCAACTGTGAATTACGAAAAATTATATAAATTTCATTTTAGATTTGTGTTAATTAATAATTATTTTATTAATTTTGTGAAGGTTGCCTCCCTAAATATACTAACTATTTAATTATTTAATATTGAAATATTCAAATAGTTAAATAACTAACTATAAATGTATGAGCCATTCAAATTAATTATACTAAAATATTTATTACATTCTATGTCAAGGAATAATTTTTGAGATTTAACCCCACTTACCATTCCCAATTAGAATATTATTTCAGAGGAACTTAGACCTGCCTAACTAAATTTTGAAAGAACTTAGAATAAGAAGCTAAAAATAACTACTGTAAACATAAACAAATAATGATAAGAAAACAGTGAGACTGACATACCTTGGTAATAAGACAGATTTTGTTTTAGTAGGGGAGAGTGGGATCAATTGTAACAGGTTACGATTGTAACAGAGCAAAAATTTCGAGTGTCGCATTCTAGATTTGGTTCCTAGATGGCGCACAAGGTGTATTTAATAAATCTACATGTACACCCCTGCTGGCAACCATTTTTACGTACTTTTGAAAGAGTTACATCACAAAAGATATTTTCAAGCTACGTAAGTACTTTTTTTGGTATTCGATTATTATATTGTAACAAAGTAATTTTGTAACAATTGACCCCACTCTCCCCTACTGTTAGCAAATTCAAAAGTGAATTGTAAAAATATATTTTGACCAATTGTAACATACATTTGGAAAAAAGTTAAACACTTTTTCACTCTCTTAACTTAATATTGCTTGTTATGCTAAATTATTTTCTATAAAGTATTTTCAGCACTAAGTTGCAAATTGCATCTGAAATTATTTTGAGGCTACTCTTAATTGTTGCGCCTATTAAGGAAGGGTGATAGACAATGATGAAGGGATGATTAAAGATAAGTGGCATGAATAGAAAAAACACTTTTAAAGATAAAGACAAGTTTATGTGGTAAATGAAGACATTTCTCTGAAAAATAAAGCTTGTGCAGATGTTTAATAATCATGCAGGCAAATCAGCCTTTTCTGCAATCATTTTTTTCACTTTTGTCCCTAATGGTGTATTTGGTAAGCATTAGTGGCTATTTTTTTACTTTTAAAGATTTTTTTTAGTGTTTTTTGAAATGATTAAACTGAATTTCTTTTTGAAAAATGTTTTGTGCATAAAACGCTGAACGTGAAAAGTCTACTGGATTCAGTCTAAATGCTTTATTCGTTTCTTCATTGTAAATTATAGGGTGCGTAGCGTTTTTAAAAACTGCTTAAAGGTGCTTATTTTTGATTTACGCTTTCTAAAAGCCCTTAAAGGTGCTTTTTTTGTAAAAAGTGCTTAATTTTCTATATTTTACAAAAATATGTTTTTCTTTGCCGTAATGATTGTTGTTCTAAATTACAAACGACGCATAATTTTCACTGCAATATTTATCAGAAATTAGAATTTATTGAATTTATGTTATAAATTTTAACGATGGAAAAAAATAATTTTTATTACTGTACAGATCCTAATTATGATTTTTTTTTTGGGAAAGTGCTTAAAAATGTTTTTTAAGGGCTTAAAAAGTACTTAAAAGGTGCTTATTTTTTGTTTGAAAATCTATCTACGCACCCTGTATTACTTTATAGTATGCATCTACTCTTGGTTTTTTAAGGTAAGCACCAAGATCCTGCATGTGGGTAACATATTTTTATGTTACCCTCACACATTTTATGTTATAAAAACATAATCGAACTGAGGATCAGTTTAATCTTTTGCCTTAAATATGAATTTGTTCATGGTGGGGACAAATCTATGTGCCTGAAATACCACTTTTTTACCATAAACAATCTTTGATGTGTCACCTGCCACTCCCTGTTGTTGTAGTACTTTTAAAGTTAATTATTTTTCATTTACCACCAATTTCTGATTTTTAAAAATGAATAATAACTGATAGAGATAAGAATAAATTTGAAATATATTATATTTTTACAATGAGAAAAAAACACTCATTTAAGGGCAAACAAACATTAAAAAAGCATCAAGATGTTTTTACTTATGCTGCTGAGCAATACTTGATTTGTATAAAATTCATCTCNATTTGAAGTATTATATTTTTACAATGAGAAAAAAACACTCATTTAAGGGCAAACAAACATTAAAAAAGCATCAAGATGTTTTTACTTATGCTGCTGAGCAATACTTGATTTGTATAAAATTCATCTCAAAAATGAATGTAGGGCTGAACTTGCAGGAATATCTGTGAGATGTACTATGTTAGGTAGGATTACGGCTAAAAAACACTTTTTGAAAAATGTCCATTAAAAATGTTAGAAAATTATAATATTTACCATAGAGAAGGAGTGTTTTTCAAGTTCTTTCAGTGTTTTTTTTTCATTAATTGTGATTTATATGCTCTGTGTAATTAATATATTTAACATGACTTATTGTACATTTTTTTAACTTTTTGGAAATTATTATTGTAAATAAATGAGAATTTTTAACTTTAAATTAATTAGATTTTTAATTTTTTTCTTCTCCGTAGGAAGCTGGCAATGTTGTTGATATAAAGTCATGGCCTCTCCTCTTAGATACTGATGAAATTCCAGAAGAGAAATTAACTAGCATGTATAGTACCCCAACTACTGAAATGATAACTTATTTGGATTTAAATGTTAGCCCAACTGGAATGCTAGCTGGTATTAAGGTATAAAAATATTTTACTGTTTTATTTGTATTCCTTAAATATTGTTTCAAATGAATTGGGATTAGATATTTATAACTTTATTCAGTCTGTGTATTTTGACTTAAAAAGATAACATATTTCAGATGTCCCATGCAGTATCAACCTTTTTCTGTACAAGTATGAAACTTGCCTGTGAATTATATCCATCAAGACACATAACTTTTGGCCTTGATCCTTACTGTTGTTTAGGTTTTGCCTTATGGTGTTTGAATAGGACTCACATCAATTAAATTAGTAAAGTTTTTTTTCTCTTAAATAGTTTAAATCATTTTCGATATTTTTACATGTGTTATATCAGCAAAAGGAGAATTTACATTGAATTTTGTAAGTCGAGGCAATTAAAAAAATATATCTGAAATCAGAATAGTGAATAAAATCCGTTCAATTAAGAGAAGATTATAAAATGAAATTTTAAACTATGTTTTTAATTTAGTCAATGAATGAATGAGGCTTTCATTCTATCCTTATCTCGTTAACTTTATTTATAAAGTTTTCTACTTGAAACGTATAGCAGCATGAAGTATTATACATTTCTATTGAAGTTTCTGAGAATTAAATAACAAAATCTGCAAAAGCAATTACTTTTAAGAACCAGCTCCTGATATTTTCTTTTTGCAAAAAAAAAAAACTTGTGGTAAAAATAGAAAAGTAATTTTTATAGTTTTTTTTCTTACTTTAATATATGTAGTAATTATTCAGAAAATTAAGTTGTTTCAATCTAATATTTTCAATGCAATGCTTTTGATTATTTTTTTTGAGTCTT